CCAGTACCGATAAAAAAGACCAATAACGTTGGAGCGTAACGGCGCGTAAAACAAACGTGATGACGTCACCAACGAATCGACGACTGAATTAGTTGGCAACTAATTTGGTAATCGATTTTAATCGATTAAGTCGATTAGTTGTTGCACCCCCTAGTCTTGGCTATGCGGCAGTCTAACACACACACATTACCAAATAAGGACTATGTGGGAGTACCCCTCGATTCCATTGGCTCTGACGGTCAGAAAGAGATGTCACATGTCAAAATCGAAGAAGGGGGGCCAGAGATAAGGAAAATCCACCCAAATGGCCCCAGAAGAGGTTTGTTTTTGCTAAATCTGTCTAAAAAGGTCAAATATCACTTGTTTTTGCATCAATCTTGATACAGGGTACTTATTATATGTTGTACTTTGGATTCCTAAAGCTTTTAGTTTGCTTACCCATCATCCAAGGTTAGTTTTCACTATAAGTACAAAATATCTTTTGGACGGACACTATAATTTACAGTGTTTTACCATGTTCAATCTGAATTTTCTTTACAATAAAAAACATTTATATTGATTCTGACTTTTCTACATCCAACTCACAGGTTTATCATTACTGGAAAAAAAGATTATTAATTTAACCCTTTTAGAAGGGAAGATATGGTCATTTGTTCTGGGAATGTCATTTTAGAGCCTGAAACCTGAAAAACAGGCTTGGGGCTTAAGAGGTATACCTGGGCGGCCCGCCCAAGTATAGTCTATGTGTGGGAAACCCTGGAGACACATAACAAACAGACTGAACTTAAGCAAAATATTATTATGTTATTTATTTCAATGTTAAAGGGTTCTCTACATAATGTGACAAGACACTTATACTAACAACAATCCTTCATCCGATTGCTGTCAGTAAACCAACTTACTCTATAAGTCTAACTGAAGTGTTAAATAGACCTACCTTTGTTCCCTCTGATAATTTGGCATTTACTATCGCATACATCTTCTTTCCCATGGTTTTCCTAAGAATCACTGGCAGGTGATCAGCAGATTCAATGGGTCCCTGAAGGTTTGAAACCAAAACAGAACAGTTCATTTATTTAAATAATGCAAAAAGAAAGAAAACAGATTAAGTTAGGAAAGATGGACGCACCCAAGGTAAAGCCAAGGTTCCCTGCTTCTCATCCCAAACCACCAGGTAGTCCAAAACAGAGCGTTCGCTGTCTCCCCAACTAAAAGATTGATTAAAAGTCATAAACAGGCTTTGCAATACAGATGTGGAGAAACAACTTTCTCAACGTACCGTGTTAGCACAAGGTCTAGATTGGGATTTGGACCCAGTTGGCTTAGTGCACCCCGTCCCCTCATGCCAGTCCTCCCTCCTGGATTTCTAACGACAGATCAGATACACATCACCTATCAACACAAGCTTAAAAGGTTCATGTAAATGCTATTTGATGCCTTGAGTACCCTTGAATATCATACCTGTAATTATTTGAGGCCTCTGATTCTGATCTGCAAAAAGAAAAGGAAACATAAGAAATAGGGAGCATTGTCATTTGTTATATTTCCTATTACTGAGACATGTTTCAATAGGAACATACTGTACATTGTTATTTTTACAAAAACATCCGTACCCACCCCATAACTGTACTTATACACACCTTCCTAATCTGAACAAACATCCCTTATTCTCTTGTAAAAAAATGACATACCCATCCACATGGTCCCCACTTCCTTCAGACGTGTAATAAGACGGCATGTAACAGGTGAAGCTGAACTGAAAAAAAAGTGACAGGAAACAAACTGGCTTCATAAACTATCTTTTACCACAGTGATGTTGGTGATGATGCTCGAGGTGCTGTGGAGAAATGTTTGTGTATTACCTCCCATGGCACTTTCTCTTCTGGCACAGGGAAGCGTGTGAGTTTGCTGTTGGGATAGTAAAATTGTCGGGCGTTCACGTGGTACTTGTCCTCTTTCTCTGATGCATACATATCAGTGGACTCCTCTGTTGTGGTCAGTGCTGCACGGAAAAGGGATTACAAATGAGCACGAACAAGAGAAGATTTGTTGTGAAATATGTTAGAAATAATGATAAATTAAGAAGTTGGTTGCTAACTTGGTGGTTGTGCATCTTTTGCTGTAAAACCCTGACATTTCAGACTTTCCATAATCCACTGCAGGGCTTTGGCGGACTGCATGACCTTTTGAGACACACATTTTATGACTGCTTATGCAACCTCAAAGAGGACAATTCGAGAGAATATTCCACAAACACACATTAAGAAAGTGTGTCATCTCTTCTCTGACTCGTACATAGTGTGAAATGTTACAGACACAGGTGCGATATTTGTGATAACCAAAAATCAGGTCACAACCTGCTCCTCTAGTCGAGCCAGTCTCTGCACCGTGGCATCAGAGCCCATCTCCTCTTCCCTCTCCAGCCGCTCTGTTATGGTGGTAACCCTCAAGAAACAAACAAGACCAGTGTGGGTGTCTGCTGGGTATTTGAATACCACTCCCAGATTGTTTAGTACGAAACATGTTTCATCAAATTTGACCCTTATTAAACCTGAAAAACACAGACTATGGTATCTTGCTGATAGTTAAAGAAAAAAGAAATTACATTTTTTGTTATATGATACAGGATAGTTGTATTTCTAAAGGATCAATAATGGAGGTAAAATCCAACTTTCGTAGTACATTTGCGGTTTATAATTTGTTTTAATATTTTTTTTTACCGTATTTTATTCCACTATCTATTCCTGTTTCCCCTATTTCTATAATACTATGTCACTATGCAAAACTGTAATGGATAGTATGATTTCAGAAAGAATAAATTACATTTAAAAAAAATCAGCCTTTGGATCCCGACAGAACAGCATTGCTCTAGAGTATTATTTTTCAGCCACGCTGGTCTGCGTTCCTGTAGGAGTTTTACTTTTGTCCCGTGTCCACGATGCGGCGCTCCATGCTCTGGCTCTGCTCCTGCCGCGTGGACAACAGGTATCTGTCCTTCATCATGGCCTCCCAGGACAGCAGCTCCTCCTCCTCCACCTGAGGAAGCTTGCACTCTGAAAACAGCATCACATGCCTTTTTATTATCTTTAATACTTTGCACGTGTGTATGCAAAATGAGCATCAGCACACAATCATACACGGCATTGACTGTGAAGTGTCAAAGGTCATGGGAGGGTCAGGGGTTACGATCTGGTTTAGTTAATTTATGACCTAAACATATAATTTTGTGATTACATGTGGTTAATTAAGGAGGGAATTGTAACCCCATTTTAAAAACACAATTATTTAAAAGCTCTAAATTGATGAAAATGCTTGCTTCACCAAAGCAGTGTTGGGAATAGGAGGATTTTCTTCAAGTATTTGACTAAACTGATAACAATCTGGCTCTTACATGTTAAATCAGTAATATTTAATGAATAATAACGTTTTTAAAAATAGTGATAAAGCAACATATTGAGAGGAAGTCTGCAGCATCTTAACAGGAAGTCTACTTTGAGCATGGGCAGAAATAAATAAACAAATGCTTACTGAACTCTGTGGTAGTGATGGGCGTCCTGCACAGCACCACGTTCCTAATGAAGAGGTACAGATGGCTGAGTATGATGAAAGGGGGCGGGGCAGCGGGGCGGCTGTGGTACTCCTTGATAAGCTCGTATCTTTGAAACTTCCATATCCTGTCTGTGTTGTCCTGAACTTCCTGGAACGTGAAGCTGTGCAGGACCACAAAGAGAGACAGAGGGTAACGGGGGAACATCGGATAAAAAGGACTCAGAGGTTTGGAGGTGAACTCACTTGAAGATGGCGATGAGCAGGTTCAGCAGCAGTATGTTGGCAAAGAGCAGGTAAATACAAAGCATGATGATGGTGAGCCACTCGGGGAAGGCTGGCATCTGGTTTTCATTCAGCACAGGACACTTGGGCTTTAGAGGATCATTGCCATTCATGGTGCAGGAGTCTAGTTTAAAGTCAGCATCTGCAGAGGGCAAACAGATCATTGCCTTGTTGAAAATATCTTATATAATCACTTCTGAGCCCTGTGAAAACCTAGAAATGATTAAGTCTCCTATCATGCAAAATGCACTTTATATGACGTAATATCGGAAATGTGGGCTGGCTTTCAGAAACGTCGCTATCAGAAACAAAGCGCAACGTGTTTTGGAAGTAATATGGTCTTTGTTTACATTAGCAAGCATCACTAACTCTCAGAGCTAACCTGTACTGGAGAGAGCATGTGTTAAAAAGCAGGAAATAAAAAAAGGAACTCACCTTGTGGTAAACCGGCAAGAGAAAAAGCATTTGAGCTCTATACTGTTTCAGAAATAATCTTTGATGTGGTTTGGAACATGAT